TTAAAAATATTTTTGAATATACAGGGTGCTCCGTTTATGGGATATGCGACAGAACTTTCCTATTTTAAATGGAACACCCTGTACGTGATTGAATATTTGGATTCTACGTAAAATTCTGACCAGATTTCATGTAATATACCCTATCCCTAGGTGCAACTGTTTTGGAAATGAAACATTGACAGTTAAAAATTGACTTCTTGCAACTTTGACAGGCTGTAAAACCTAAACGGTAAATTTTAGACGTAAACCCATTTTACATTCCTATCTTAGATTTTCATAAACTTTGAGTTTAATCCATGATTAAAAATTTCAGTTAAATTCAATCTCCGGAATATATATTTTTAACTAATGCATATTAGAGTATCAAACAACTTTATAATTTAATTTTTTTTTTCTTGCATCACCAGGAATTATATATCGTCCGATATCGCACTGAGTGGACACCCTGTGTAAATAAATTCTCTTCCGAATAATTATCGTTGCCTTTTTTGACATTTTCAAAAATGGGGATAGGGGCCCCCAAATTTAGAACTGCCTAGGGCCCCGAGATGGCTAGAGATGGAAATCTAGCAATACAAATCGAACATTATACCAATAAAAAGAGATTTTTTTTACAACATGTTTTACAACGCTTTAAATCAGACAAAAGAAGAGCTTTAAAATGTACTTTAACATCGTTTGCACTTTCATTTTGATAAATGTTTCATCGGGCAACATCGTACAATGAAAGTGCAAAGGAATATGTCAAGTATAATCTGACATAATTTTAAACAACAGTGCGGTGAGTTCAGAAGTAATACGTAAAGTATTATTTTGCTCCTTGTCAAATTACACGTTACAAAGAAAGAAGGAAAGATTAATTTCAAACTGCTCCTGAATAAGAATATGACGCAAACCCGTAACAAACTCGCTTCTCATTGGACGCTTACCTGCAACCCACGAGTTGCTCGCGCAGTCAAGGTAAAAAAAGATAGGTCAACTCATAATTGAGGAGATTGAGGATGAGTTACCATTAAAAACACCTGAAATCAGAGACGGCGCGAGATGTGGAATTGAATTTATTACCGGATAAGTCAAGAGCTGTATATGAACTCAGGTACAGCAGATTCATAGAATACAGACAGAAGAAAAATATAGGATCCCTCTCTGAAAATGTGCTGATTGCCTATTTTTCTGATCTTTCGAAGAAAATGAAGGAAGCCTTCAACCTTTTCGATGTTGAAAGCTACTCTGAACATCAAAAATAACATTGATTTGGCAAGGTATCTGAAATTACGAGCTTTTTTTGAAATGACAGTCAGATGGTTTTCATGCAAGAAAATCCCGAGTTTTTCAAAGAGAAGAAATCAGAAATTTTTATCAGAGACTCCAGATGAACTTTATTTGAGCTCTAAGGTAGGAATATGCTGAAAATTGTCTATTATGGATTAAAGAACTATTTCGCAAATTATATTTCAGGTTGTAATCATTATTGCAGTCGCTGGGGCTTGTAGATGTGATGAGCTTCTGCAAATGAAAACAGATGATATAACTGCGTTCACAGAAAATATGCAGGCTCCAGACCCTCGAACTTGAATAATCAACGTTTCTTCTATAACTATGCGTTCACATCAACAATTCATTGGCATTCACAAGTTCGGTAAAATGCCAGAAAAAATTGCTAGTGTCCTGGAACTACCCCATGAGAAACAGTATACTGGCCACTGCTTTCGCAGAACTTCGGCCACGTTGCTGGTGCATTCTGGTGGGGACATAACCATGTTAAAGCAGCATGGGGGATGGAAGTCATCCACCACGGTCGCGGAGGGCTATATCGAGGACTCGCTAGCCAATAAGTCGAACATCGGCAACAAAACATTTTTAGGTGTTTCCAGAGTTTCAAGCAGTGTGGATAATGATATAGTCAATTTTACGAGAAAGGAGGGCAATGGAGACGGTTCAATTGTATTAAAGAATTTTTCACAATTCATCATAAATATTTCTAACAAGTAAAAATTTGCTGTTGTAGTTTTTAGTTTTATTGTATAATAAAAGCAGTTTCATTTATAATTTTTTATTTAAATTTCCATCATTGTGTTTACCCAATGTCACTGTCAATTTCAATTATTTTCAGTTGGATGTAAATTATTACGGGAAACGTTGCATAGTAACGAACTTTTTCTGCCTAGGCAGTAAAAACACAACTTTTGAAACTGTCAAGTCTCATTAAAAACCCGCTTTTAATGTCATTTGGAAGAATAAATACATATTATTATATGAAATACAATTTGAGTCCTTGATTATTCAAAGAAATTATTGAAAAGTAGATAGAGACTTTAACTCCTTCTTGAAGGCACCAACTCTTGGGCAGTCTCTGAGTACATTAGGAAGTCTGTTGTAGTAAGCAAGGCCCTGGAAATACACACTTCTCTGTCCTCCAGTTGTTCTCATTGCTTCTGGTCTTAGGGTATTTCTTTGTCTGGTGCTATAGTTGTGGATTTTATTTGTTGGAGTGAATATTTGATATTATGCAGTTGTGGATGAAAGTACATATTTGAAAGATGTACAGGGACTTTATACTCGGGATGTGATTAGGGTTGTAAATGGCAGCAATGGAAGCTGGAATATTTTCTTTATAGCTCTGTTTTGTAAAACCATGAGGGGTTTGAGATGGATGTTTCAGGTATTGCCCCAAATTAAGGTGAGATATGATAAATGAGAGTGAATCAGCGAATCATATACCATTTTACGTTGCGATATGTTAATGTATCTGGCAACTCTACCAAGAATCCTTACAGCGGGTGCTATCTTTTTGCAGACTGTGAATATGTGAGGTTCCCATGTAAACCTATGATCGATGAGTAAACCAAGAGACTTGATACACAGTTCTTTCTTGAAGTTGAATTGGCCCAGATTTAGGGTACTTAACGTTTTTCCAAGTAGCATTGTTGGAAATAATCATATAACTACATTTTTTCGAGTTAAGTGAGAGTTTGTGGAAATATAGCCATTTATTGATGGTTGTTAGATCTTGTTCTATGATTGTTTGAACCAAGTTAAGGTCTCTTCCAAAGTATACCAGGCAGGTGCCGTCCGCGTACAGATATATGGCATATCTTAGAGCAAGTTTTGTTATAGAGTTGATGTATACCAAGAAGAGAGTAGGTCCCACAATAGATCCTTGTGATACTCCACATCTGACGTCAGCTGGAGTGCTTAGTGTATTATTAACAGTCACTTGTATTCTACCTAGTAAGTATTCCCTCAACCCCCCTAGTGCCATTCCTGTCACGACATTCTGCTCTAATACTGATAATAATATACTGTGAACAACAGTATCAAAAGCTTTTTGAAGATCCAGTGAAACAAAAACAGCTATTACCCTTTCAATATTTTGGACGGTGCGGGAAGGATAGAGATTGGTCGATAGTTGCGTGGTATTTTAGTATCTCCAGTTTTGAAAAGTGGTACAATTTTGCCCCTTTTCAGTGAATTTGGCATGCTGGTGGTGGTAATTGTTGAATTACCAAGTCTGCATAAAATTAGGATGAATTCATTCTTGAATTCTTTAAGAGTTTTCATGCTGATAGTATCGATTCCAGGTGCGGCGTCCCTTTTCAAAACCTGCTTGCACAGTGCAAGCAGGTTTTTCGCTTACTGGTAAGCAGCGCCGATCTGCGCAGTGTTCTCGCGCCGAGATAGGACAGAGTGGATACCTGCAAAAGCGAGAAAATCTTTTTAAACTTCAAATTTGCCACCTGCCAGTTGTGTCTCGTCTCGAACTTCTAACCTTCTAGAACAGTTTCGTTAACAGACTGCTTTAGGCTGTAATATTCTATATATATCCTTTTTGAAAATTGATTGGACAATATTTGACACAATTACTCAAATGTTGTATCTTTAGGTAAAACTGGAGCAAAGGTCTCTCAACGTTTATGTATGCATTTTTTCCAATTATCGTCAAGAGGGGTACAGGTCAATTTCGCGCGGAAGGTACCTGCTACCAATATGCTTATCACTTAAAAAGGGCAGGTGACAATTGCGCGCGGAATGCAAATTAGGTGCATACCTGGTAATAATTATCCCGGCAGGAAGCTACCCACATTTGGACATTTGGTTTATTGTTTTTGGACCCGGCCGGAGTTGGCAATGTGTTCGGTGAAGAAGCCCTATGAGTTTGTGACAAAATAAAATGAATGTTTCCTCATCATACCATGTGTTTTCTTTCAACTTTTTATAGTTTCCATAGAATGAGGTAGGCGCGCAATCGTCCAATGTTGTAAAAGGGGTAAGGCGCGGCGCTATCGACCCATGATCTTAGGACTCACTTCTTCTACATAGTGACCTTATGCAACTAATGCCTGCACAGATATTGAAATTAAAAGAAATTAATTTAAAACAAAAACATAATCATAACAAGACTCAAGACTCAAAAATTAACCAAATGAATTGGAAAATTACACCACAGATTCACAGGTCCCTTCATCTTAACAAAAATATAAGAAAACAACAGGATTGAAATTAAAAATCCCAAAACAAATCAAAAAGAGATTTTGCATATCAATGAAACCAAAATCAAATCTATTGTTACAGATGAATCCGAATCTTTAACATTAGAACAATAGGAATAAAATTCCATGATGTGACTCCTACCTTGCTGCCAGAATAGTCTTGAATCATTAATCAAGGAAAGCGCTAAGTATTTAATTAGAAACATCTAAAACAATGTAACCTATGAACAGGAAAGGAATATCAAAACACGTTGCTGCCATTACCAGCGTTTTAGGGGTCCCAAATGATCGCTTAAAAACAAAATCTCAACATACAAAAAATTGAAATTCCAAAAGTTTTTTGTCAAAGAGAATAATAATTGTACATTCTTCGGACAATAAAGTTTTTTTGATATGATTGGATTTTGATTAGACACATTATCAATTATCCTAATACTCAAGAGCTAGTTCTATTACTTAGATAATAAAATGATTCAATATGATCTTTGAGCTACTCAATCACAAACTTACCGAATCACTGGTCCACCTATTGGGTACAATGGGCCTTTGCTGATCGTCGCACACCACTTTTCTCATATCTTCGAAACTAGGATCGCTCGGTACCACATCAGAAAATGGCGGTTTGTAGTCTTCCACAATACCATTACTGATTGTTCGCCTGCAAATTTCCCACAGCACTAGACCGAAAGCGTAAATATCAGACTTGCGGAAGGAATTGAAACAATCCATACGTATCCTAGAAGATTTTTTTTTTCACAAAAAATAATACACCTAAATATAATTAGTATTACGTTTCATCCAAAACTTCTGGGGCCATATATCTTTTGGTACCAACCCTAGGATTAGAACCAATGTCAAGCTTATCAGTGGTTTGAGTGTGAGTCACTGCCAATCCGAAATCGGCTATGCAACAAGTCCCGTTGCTTTTCACCAGAATGTTTTTTGACTTAATGTCTCGGTGAGCTATAGCAGGCTTGCCTTGCATCCCAAAAATTTCCGTGTGTAAATGTACCAAGCCGTTAGCAATGGATAAACATACCATTATCATTTGTGCGTGGCTCAGAGTGGTGTGGTTTAAATAATCGTACAAACTTCCCAACGAGTGATAGTGAGTGATAAGCCAGAGTTGGGTACATGAGTTTCTCGATGTCATATCGGAACCGATGTAGCCCAAGATGTTTTCGTGACGGAGTAATATTGTACTAGAAAAAATAATTAGTATTTAGTAGTTGTCACAAAAACTACAATAGACATTCAATTATTAAAAAGTGGATGTTGGAGACCGCATCCCTGTACATTTTTTGCTAATATCCTGACAAAGCCACTTTGAGCGTGCAGAGGAATTGGATTGAAATTTGAAGAGAGAAAAGATTGAAATTAAGAGAAAAAAATGAAATTTTGCCATTGGATAGAAAAAAGTCCTAAATAATAAAATCTATGCAACTACATACCTATAAATCTCAGTTTCCCTATTCCAACTGGCTTCATCTCTGGAAAAAAATATTTTCACCGCCACATTTTCACCGTGCCAAACGCCTCTCCACACTTCTCCGTATCTGCCTTTGCCTATACACTCCACAAGGGAAATTTGTTTAGCCATAGTGCGTTGAATCAATAGAGGCAGTCCCGAACCACTTCCCGATGTCATTGAATGTTCCAAATATTCTCTTAATGTGCTATCACCAGCGGCGGTGGCTCTTAACAGTTCATCTGTGGCATAATATTGTTCTGGGTCCAATCTAAAGTTAACAAATATTTTATTAATAAATTAGATTTTTATTCAAGTTACATACCTGGTCTCATTACATAGTCTATTCCTATGTATTTTCCTCAAAAAATATAACACTAGTAGCCCCATAGATCCGAGCACTATTGCAGGACCCAAAATCGCGGCTACCATTTTCAAGCCAAACATAAACGACTCTGAATATGAACCGGGCGCTTCTTTGAACACTGGTGGTAGGTTGGGAAAGGTGCCATTATTACAATAATCACCTAAAAAACAAGTAGTTGAATTTAAATTGTTATAATTTGATGAAAATTGATTACCTTCACAACAATCTACACGATACTGTCCGCTGGCATGGCGTTTGCCTTGGGCAGTGAAAGATGGAGTTTTGCACACGAATATCAACTGTTCTGATTTAGTTGTGCAGCCTCTTGAAACACTTTCATCACCTGAAAAATAACCATTATGAAAATTATTTGATGAAACTTGAAATAATCAACTCTGTGGTTTTTCTAGTGTGCGTGCTAAATATCCACGATATCTTGCAATCATTTGCAAATTTAAAAAGATCAAATTCAAATTCAAATTCATTTATTCCGGGTGTATAGTACAGTAAATTACATAGTATTTTTACCCTGCAAAAGACAAGAAGTCTGTGCACAGGCCCGGTACTTAAAACTAAAGATCCTTAAACTAAACTATTTTTACTAATAGTTAGGAACAATTAAAGTTTTGCCTTTATTATAATTTTTTTTTTTGTAAATTTCTATTTATTCATACATATCAGTTAATTGAGAAATAAATTATTTATTTTAATTTTATAATATTGATAGAAATTGAAGATTTATACATTTATGTTTTGTCTAATGAAAAAATGCTTTATGTTGCATTTGAAAGTTTTGTTGATTTTTTTTACATTCTTTAAATTATTTGGCAATAAATTATACAGTCTTATGGCGCTTACTAATAATGATTTTTTACCTACTTCCAAATTAGTTTGTATACTAGGAATATTTCTATTTCTAGTATTTGTCTGTCTTTGTAAATATTTACTTTTCAGATATTCGTAATTTAAAATTAGTGTTTTATAGTAGTAATTTTGTTTTATATTATTTAATATCACATTTTCCCTATATGTTAGGTTTAAAGCTGAGCTTCGTACTTTAAACGTTCGATCTACCTTCATTACCTAGATATTTACCTGCATACCTGCCATTTAAATTACTACTTATCAAAACGAATGAACACTTTAAAAACCTTTTTGAGATTATGATGCATTTGTAATACAAAATAGCGTATGATATGCGTGTATAAGAGGGCATTTAAAGCTCTTGCGACTTACAAAACACTCCGCTGCGCGTCGTGTTTTGAAATATGTGGCGCGTGCTTTAAATGCCCTCTTATACACGCATATCATAATATACTATTTCTTAATTATAATAAGCCTGGGGCCAAATTTTTTGGTGGAAGATTTAATATTTTATTTAAGTAAAAGAGACTTTAGATGAGTAGTTAATCAACAGGTATAGTTTTCAGAAAAATATAGGTTTAAAATGGACAAAAATAATTGAAAGGAAAAAGAGTGGAAGAAGGAGAAGGTACATAATTCATATTTCATTGCAGAAAAAAAAAATGATTTACACCAGGTTTGACTTGACTTGAAGTTTGATCTTTTCAGGAACTTCAAAAAGTGCATATTACTAGATTACCATCATGGATGTTTTTTTTGTTTAAATAATTAAAATGAAAAAATACTGACTTTTGAATAAACTAATTAATTTTAGACAATAATATTTGTTTAAATTATATAATAAAGTGTATTTTTTTTGAGATATTTTTTAACAGTGTTGCGTGAGAATTATTTTTTAAATCTTTCCAATACTTTTAGGTATCCAATTAAATTTAATTTGATGTTTTATTTATAAAAAAAAGAATAAACAGTACAATTTCCTCTATTTTATTTTAGAGTAAAACAGTATTTTTGAATCATCCCTCATAATTCATGATTTTGAAAGCTTTTTTTAAAAAATGAAAAGAAATCATGAAATTTGCTGAGTAATGACTGAGAATGCAGGATCTCAAAATCCATAAAGTTTTCTCAAAGAAAAACTAAACATTTAAGGATACGAGGGTTCTTAAAATCTAAGGGGATCTGAAGATCATAAGAATCCTGTTATGAAAGAAATCAGGAAGATTGCAAAATTATGAATTAGGATTCAGGTTTTTGAGTATTGAGAATAAGGACGTTCGACAGAGTTGACTATAAAATTCTTAAAAATGAACAAGAGTGCTTAGGTTTTCATGGCAGTTTTTTAAATTGGATTGTTGATCAGCTAACGGGTAGAAAACAAAGAGTAAAAATAGAAAATATAATTTCATCAGAGATTGACATTACTTCCAGCCATTTATCTCCACTCCTATTTAATCTCTTCATGAATGATGTCAAAAATTTCTTTACAAATTGCCAATTTCTTGATTTTGCTGTATTTTTAATAGTTAAAAGCATTAACGACTATGTAATTCTTCAAAATGAAATCAATCAATTTCATTTGTGGTGTGAATCAAATAATTTAAACCTTAATTTAAAAAAATGCAAAATTAAGTATGTCCTTTCACAGAACTAAGTATCCTTTCATTTTTGACTATGCAATTGGGGGCGTTGATCTTGAAAGAGTATATGAGAGATTTAGGAGTTTATTTGGATGTTGAACTAAATTTCACAGAACACATAGAAAGAATTTCTAATAAAGCTATGAGGTTACTACATAGGTTTTGTTGTACATAGTATTGGGGACTTCAATAATGTGTTCACCCTAAGAAATGCATATTCTTCCGTTGTCCGTCAGATATTGGAGTATGCAAGTCCTGTGTGGTCTCCATATTATGATAAACACAAATATCAACTTGAAAAAATCCAAAGGAAATTTTTAAGATTTATAGCTTTCAAATTAGGAATAAGGTATGATTCTATCAACTACAATGATCTCCACAAACTTTCAAATATCCTGACTCTAGAGCAAAGAAGAGACCAACAAGATTTGTCTATTCTGCATAAATTGATTAATAACATCATCAATTTACCTGAACTTTTATCATCAATAGGTTTAAACACCGCTCGTAGTAACATTAGAAATAATAGGCTATTTTATACCAAAAATCACTGTACTAATTATTATGGTTTTTATTCTCCATTAACTAGATTTTGTAGACTGGCCAATTCTGTGATAAATAATCTTAATATAGATATTTTAAATAGTAGTTTAAATGCTTTTAAAGCTAAAATACAATTCATCTAGTCATATTTCTCTTTTATATTACAAGTTAGCTTCTATTCTTTTATTCTGTTTTTTTTTTCTGTTTCACTGTTTTATTCTTTATTATTTGTTTATTGTTTGTTAAACCACTGAGGTTGTAAGTGAGTTTTTTTTTTTCAGAATAAGTTTTGTATTTAAATTTATATATTGAACAGGAAAAGCCGCTGTGATAATAATAAAAGCCTAAAAAGTCATAGTTGAGGTTGGTATGCACCTACAGATATACAGTGTGTCCCAGGGAAAACAGTCCACCCCGATTTATAGGATTTAGGATGAGAATCTGGAAAAACGCTCGGACAGAAGAACAACCTCCCAAATTTGAATGGGGTATAGGGGTCATGTCATACCTCTTTTTAAAGGTCTCATTGAGTTCTTTATGGCCCTAAAATTTCGTCTCATTAATTTCATCCGTAACGAAATGACAGCTTGTCAAAATATTGAAAATAAACTATTGTTTTAGTAGGAGTAAAAGCGGTACATACCTCCCTTAATAAAAATACGAGTAAAAATACCTAGAATTTATAATTCTCGTGTACACCTCATTAATAATAATAATAAAAAACCTTAATTTCAAGTATTCTTATTGAGGGAGGTAAGTATCGCTTTTCCTCCTACTGAAACAATAGTCTATTTCCAAGATTTTGACAAGCTGTCATTTCGTTAAGGATGAAAATAATGAGATAAAATTCTAGGGCCATAAAGAACTCCATAAGACCTTTAAAAAGAGATATGACACGACCTCTATCCCCTATTAAAATTTGAGGGGTTGTTCTCCCCCTAGCTAGGGGGTTGAAGCTATGGGGATGAAACAAACTGAAAAATAGTTCCCCCTCAAATCAAAAATCGACGTGTCCGAGCGTTTTTCCGGATTTTCATCCCAAATCCAATAAATCGGGGTGGACTGTTTTCCCTGGGACACCCTGTATGTATTTATTTTGTTGAAATTTATTTGTAAGGTTGTTAGTATCAAACGAGGTATCAAACTTTTTTATTTTTCAAAGAATTTAGATGACTAAGCATTATTTTTTCGCCGTGTCTAGCCTCCCGGCACCGGTATTCATACGAATCCCGGTTATGGCGCGTTTTAAATGACGTTATCAACAACCACCGGTAACTGTCGTGGATCCCGGCTATTGCTATACATGTTAATAATTATTATGTTTATTGGTATTGGGGCAGATTTATTATGAAGAGTAAAAAAAGTAAACAAAGTCGGAGTTGAATAAGCTTTTATTAATGGAAAATAAAATTTAAACTTTTTATTATATGTAGCTACAGGGTCATTTTGGAAGTTTGTTCAGCATTTGATCTTGTACAGCAACGCCGAGCTGTTAATGTTCAGCAACATTACACAGGGTGCCCCAAAGTTAGAGGTTCTTATTTTAACTGCGGACTCTAAATTTCAAATTAAGAGCAAAAATTCCTATACACATGGGTCCAAGAGTACCCTATTTCAGAGCTACAGGCTGTTAAAAAGGCTATAATCCTGAATAATGAATGAAAATAAACCATACTATTCCCTTTTTAAACCACTACTATGAAAAGTGGATTAACGAAGTACTAACTACTCTAATACCAATATCACAACAAGAAACAATAATACACAAAAGCTATTCCGGAATTAATCACAGCTTCAAGCAGCAAGAGAAACACGATTTTGAATTTTGAATCCAATAGCCGGGGCCCACGATAAATCCTGGCGGTCGTTGATGGAATTGAAATGTAAAATAGCATGTCTGAGTCCTAGAAATTGCTCTTTTTTGAACAGGATGTTATTGGATGGCAATCATATATTGGCAGGAAAAACCCGAGGAAAAACCATTCATATTGTTAACACATCCATAAGTCTAATTTAAAAAAACCTGTTTTTATTGGTCTTAGTTTATATTCAACTTAATGTATGTATGTTTTATTATTAACTATTAAGTACTTCCATGTTAAACCTATAACTCCAGGTACCTTTCCGGGAAAATTGATGTAAAAATGTACTTTAAAGTTTTATTTCAAAAGGCAGGCTTATTCATGTAGAACAGCTTTGCAGTTTGCAACATCCTTGTCATCCTCTTGAAGATTTGAGATAAATAATAAGAAGGTAATTGGTGTAGTTTTCCTAGATTTTAGCAGAGCCTTCGAAACTATTAGCATCGAGGGATCAACCACTCTCGAACAAACGTACAGTGATTTCCAGTTTCTGGGAATACTTTTCAAATTTGTACAGTATTTCCCTCAGCATTTCCAAGTATTCCCCAGTATTTCCAATTAAGGTCAACTTTTAACTGTAAAAGCGAGGTAACTGGGCCAGTTTTTGGTTTATTATTGAAATTTGAATTTCCCGCCCAAAAAAATCTTCATAAGTGCGTCTCATTTATATCCTGCATGTAGTAGAAAGAACGCCGCCGCGTCGGATTAGTTTCTGAGAAAAAAATTGAAATTTGTTACTTTTACAAAGTGTATTCTCATAACAACAAGTGACAGAAGTTTGGATTTCAATCAATGGTTAGTGATTATAGTGAATGATTTTGCATTGAACATATTTAACTGTAAGAGAAAGATGTTGTGAAGGTAAGCCAGGTTTGTTCTTAGTTTAAAATTTCAAGTAATGGAAACACAGCTTTGGCTCTAGTTGCCCCGGTAAAAAAACGTAAAGAGGTAACTGGAACATGCTCCACTTGAAATTAACATTGTATTGTACAAAATCTCGTTTGTTCTAGAGCAAATATGCGGTCAGGAATTATATGTGTAGAGCCTCCAAAATTGCGGACAGTGTAAGATACTCCAAGTTGGCCCTGAAAAAACCAATTGAAAATGTCCAAAACGCCAAGAGAACAATATACGGTGCTGCCGTTTCCTATGACATCCCAAGATCCACAATAAGACTCTATTATTTTTGTAAATTGATATTGATATTTTTGTAAATTGATATTGTTGACTTGCTGGCTTCTAGGTTTAGTTGTAAAATTTAATCTAAGTTAGGTTAGCTTTGTCAATAAGATTTTTGTATTCTTGGACAATAAAGCATATTTACTACTACTACTACTACTTTGTATTTGGAACAAGAGGAAAAGGTATATTGTCGGTAGCAGGATAGGGTGTAGGAGAAATATATGGAATAAGTAGAAGAACTGTCAACTGTGCTGAACATCATACAGAAATGGAGATATGGATTACTTACAAGGAAAATAGATTTCTTATTTAATTTTTTGTGCATTTTACCATTTTTATTAAACATTAATTTCTCACCGCTAAATAATACTTTTGGTGCATCTCCCATATCTCCCATAATAATTCTTGAGCAAAAAAAAAGTAAAATTGGGTAGGATCTTAACGATACCTATTCGGGTTTGGAAAAAGGACGGTTCTAGAACGGTTCAAAACAATCGTCCAGTTTATTGATCAACAAAATAACAACGACTCGACTATCACAAATTTCAATAAATGACTGTGCGATTCTTCTGGACCGTTCTAGAACCGTACTTTTTCCAAACCCGAATAGGCCTAGTATGTTCTAGTCGCTTCAGAATTATTTATTACAATGTGAATTGAGATGTGAATGCATATGAAAATAGGGGCCACTGTTCCAGTTGCCTCAAAATTAAGGTAACTGGTTGACCAAAAAAAAATTGGAACAATTAACCAGAACAAAGTGGAACACTGAGCCAGAATAAACCAAAATGAACATGCTCTTCTTGAGATTTTAATGAAAATGCCCAGAAATACGTTAAAGTTGGGCTTGGAAGTACTCATGTATTTCCAAATTATTCTTATATACTTCCGTAGTATTTCCAAGGATTTCCAAGTATTCCCAGAGTATAACCAAGTATTTCTAGGTATTTCCGAAGTATTCCCAGCAAAGTGTACCTACAGTGATATCCATGAGTGATTTACCCTTCGGTTAGCATTGATTTACTTACTTAATATTACAAAAATTGGAAAAAATATGACATCACAGGTAAAGTATTGAAATGGCTTAAGAGCTATTTGTTAAAAAGATTTCAAAAGGCAAATTCAAAAACTCAGTATCAGACAAAATGGGAACTGGTCATGGTGTAGCTCAGGGATCAGTGCTAGGGCACATTTTATTTCTCATCTTTTTTAATGACTTAATAAAACATGTAAAGTATTGCAAAATCAAACTATAGTTCGCCTTACGAGTCTAGCACTACGACGTCTGAAGGGCAAGGGGAAATAGCGCCATTAATTTCGAGCTTCATGCTGCCTATCATAGGCGTGCGTGTAGCGTTTTTAAATATTAATTTTTCCTTATAAATGTAGGTGTGTAACATAGATAAATATTAAGGTATTTTCTATTGGAAGTCAAATAGGCAATATTACAGTTTTTTTATCCCCATTCTTTCCAAAGTGCTAGACTCGTAAGGCGAACTTTAAGTATGTATTTGTAGATGATACAATACTTTATTTAATTTGCAATATTGATGAATTTCGAATCATTGAAAAGAAAAAAAAAAATGAAGATCTTAATAACTTGCATATGTGGTTATTGGAAAATGAACTTAAATTGAATATAAACGAAACAAAATTTATGATTCTATCCTCAAAGCATAATTTAATTGAACTTAAGAAAAAAAAAACAAACTCAACATTGTTATTGATAATTCTCAAATTGAAGAAGTTAAATCTTTTAAATATCTAGGTGTAATGATAGGCCCTGAGCTTAACCTTTCTCTGCACTGCGAGTACATAAAAGGTTATAGTTTTATGAATAGGCTAAATGATACCTAAAGTTTCATTATTCGCTAAACTAATAATTTACAAATCAATGATTGCACCACATTTTGATTATTGTGGAATGTTGTTTTATTTTTTAGGTGCACAGAAACTGCAATGAGGGCAATTTTGTTATGCAATGAGCGAACTCCTATTAGAAGTATGCTTGACAGGTTATGTTTTAGTGAATACTCTTGTACTTTTGCAAGTTAAGGGACAAATTTATATTGTATAATTTATTTTTTTGTATATTAGGTTAACCTATCTAAATAAAGATATTTTCATTTTCATTAAACCTTATGAATGTTCAATAACAAGCTTCATACAATATGTTAGTCTTTGTTTACAAACTAAAAAATAATATGTGGCTGTCCTATTTAACTGATGATATGGTTTATGTTAAGGATGTTCATCTCGATGTTCATGCTCATATTAATAGGTCAAGATCAGTAAAATACTTCTAAGTTGCATACCACATACGAAAGTAATATAAAAAGTTTAAGGACTACCGAGAGGACTACACAAAATTCAATGATAAAAATAATTTTGAAAAGCCAAGATTTTTCTCGACAATCCAACTTTAAAATGAAGAAATTATAGACATAAAAACTATCTTTGTATCAACGTGTTTTTCCGAAATTATAAAATATCCTTACAAACAAGTTACAAACAGTCCAAAACAAACCATAGATATGAAACCCGGCACAGCATCTAATAATACCTAAAGTGAATCGAAATTTGAGTATACATTCTTTGGTGTTTTTGGTTCCAATCGAGGTTCCAATGTTCTATAATTTATTACCAGGGAAATGAAGAATAGGGACTACCCGGGGGACTACCCTTTAACAAAGTCTAATAAACAGGCGTTGACTTACATAATAAAATATACCTATAGAAGAAAGTTTTTCTAAACTGAAACTGAAATGGAATACCTACTGTGTTGTCTTTTTTTTTTATTCTTTTATTCTGTTATTATAACTTGAGTATACCTACTGCTTGTGATGGAATAAATTGAATTATTACCTGAGCTTTCTCTGACTCTAGATTTCCAGCACTGCACAGCGTTATGGCAAATAGTAGGATGATCACAATTGGGTGGATTACACGAATGGCACTTGAACCCTTTCTGTTGTACATACTGTAGAGTATTGACATTTTCTTGTCTATCCAGAAAATCCGGAGGCGGTTTGCCTGGATAGTTATCAGTGTAGTCCTCATCTTCTTCTGGGTCTTCGTTCAGAGCAGGTCTCTTTTGGATCACAGCTAAAAAAAATGAGACATTTTAGTAAAATTATTTGTAAAATTATAAAATTGATATTGGAAAACTGGCCTCATTATATTGGTACTAAAATAAACTGGATTCTTTATTTTGTATCTTGATACACATAAAAATATTATAATAATTGTTGACTGCACTAGAGATAAGAGAATAAACAAAACCGGGACGTTTGTGGAAAATGTAATTTTACGAAAATAAGCTCAAATAATTGGGGCAACAATTAAAATCTACAAAATCTTTTAATTTACCTGATGTATAATGAAAAATTAAAAATATAAACAAACAATTTACAAATCTCGACGCAGCCATTTTTTGATCTGCCTCTACACTGAGCGACGTTGTCAGATCAGAAATTAGAAAAAGCTTTAAATGCTATGAGAATTTGGCAACGTTGCGTAGGTATTTTCGAAAATACTGTCTGCTCTGTTCTGTATTAGTGAAAATCGCTTTATCGACCACAAATTTTGAGTTGAGTGAAATCAAAAAAAGGATTCTAGAATAAATAATAAATTCGTCCAATTTTTAGAGTTTGCACCATTCACTCTACTCTTCAAAACCGAACGTGAACGTAGCTACTCTATTTACTCTAGGTAGGTTCGGCTTGCTCACTACGTGCACTCCGAGTGACTCCATTCGCACTCCAGCCGTTCGGGTATTGCTTTTTTTTACCGTATTAGGGGCTTAGATCATTAGGGGTGGCTCCATTAGCTCTGTTCACTCCACTCCAACTCCGCGCTGAATAGCCGAACCCAGCTTCAAACGTTCGAAGTGCCGACTGGTGGAGTGCACGGAGGGAACAAGCCGAACCCCACTTCCATGTGGTGGGGTGGTGGTAAACGTCAAAATTTTTGATAGGAAAAAAAATGTCGGATTTTTCGCAGGTGTAAACAAAAATTACCAAGAAAAGTTTATCGAAAAAGGTCATTCTAATGGATATGCAGGGAAATCGTAATCGGCGAATGGTCAAAATCAAATGGCTATTTTCGAGCGGGAAATTAGTAGAAAAGTGTTGCTAGACGACACCGAGCCGATAACTTGCAAAATCGAAAATTGGCAAAACGTAAATGGTCACACAGTAAGTTCTTTATTTTTCAATAATTTATTAAAATGCCTCTCAATTTTCTAGATAGATGGGCGTATTCTCCCTATTTAGGTACTATATCAACAGTTTTTCTTGTTTTTATCTTGCATTAATGCCCTAATTCAATCTATTTCATCATCTGAAAACTGTAAAAAAGTAAAAAAAATCACAAGAAAACATTTTTGTTTGGATAAACACAACAATCAGGTGATAACCTCGTCAGCAGTTATAGCTTTATAAATAGAACTGATGATAATATTTTGTATAAAACAAAATGAGGGGTTTCCCTCAATCATATTCCTCAATTCTTATTTCTCCTCAATTAATATTCAATCCCTACAACTATTAAATAAATTCAACCTTTTACAAACTGAGAGTTGTTTCATTGAGGGCTGGTTTCTCAATAGCAAGTCACCTACGGGTTAAGCATAACTCCAGAGTAAACATTGCAACTGGACATACCCTGGAATTAAAATCAACCCAGAGGTGACTTGCTATTGAGAAACTGGCCCCTGAGAATATTATTAGCATTAATAAGTTTTACCTCGAGTTTTACTTAGAATCTGCAAGTCAAAGATGAGATTAAATGATATAAATAAATACTTAATCATTTATTGCATAATTTTACAAAAATACAAAGAGTACAAGGACGCTAATAATGATAATATTAATAGTTATTTATTATACAAGGGAAAAAAGTACTAGATTTTAGCGGGAGGCGTGGTTTGTCTCCTGACGCGAAGCAGAGGGAAACAACACAGCAAGCGCTAAAATCTTACTTTTTTCTTGTCTATAATCAAATCAAATCAAATATATTACTGTATTTTCCTATGTTACAGAGCTGTAACTTATTTCTAGAGGCTTACAATTAAGAAGTCTTAAATATACAGAGTGGCAAAAAAGTTGCGCATAATACCTGTAACTTTTTAATTATCTCGTATACGAAAAAGTGACCTTAATGAAAGTTGCTCAGTAAATTATTTCCCACATTTCTACCTTGACAAATTGTTTCTGTCAGTTCTGGTTTGATTACTATCCAGACCAACTTTGTTTTTTCAAATAAAACACCCTGTATGTGATTGCATATTTGGATTCCACTTGAAATTTTGAGTAGATTTCATGTGATATACCCTATACCTAAGTTCAACTGTTTTGGAAATATTGACAATTCAAAATTGACTTTTTGCAACTTTGACAGGCTGTAAAATCCAAACGGTTAATTTTAGAGGAAAACCGATTTCACATTCCTGTCTTAGATTTTCATAAACTATTATTCGACACCAACTTTGAATTTAATCTATGATTAAAAATTCCAATTAAATTTAATCTCCGATTAAATTCAAGGTTGGTGTCAAATGATAGTTTATGAAAATCTAAGATAGGAATATGAAATCGGTTTTCCTCTAAAATTAACCATTTCGGTTTTACACGCTATCAAAGTTGCAAAAAAGTTAATTTTCAACCGTCAATATTTCCAAAACAGTTGAACTTAGGTATAGGGTACATCACATGAAATCTTCTCAGAATTTTACGTAGAATCCAAATATGCAATCACATACAGGGTGTTTCATTTGAAAAAACAAAGTTGGTCTGGATAGCAAACAAACCAGAAGTGACAGAAACAATTTGTCCAAGTAGAAATGTAGGAAATAATTTACTAAGCAACTTTCATTAAGGTCACTTTTTCATATATAAAGTATTAAAAAGTTACAGGTATTATGCGCGACTTTTTTGCCACTCTGTAGTTTAGATTGCACCTATTGTTTGCCCAGCGGATCTGAGTCTACGGCAGGAATTCGGATGTAAATGCGCCATATTGCCACGTTTAATTATAAAAAAGCAAAAATACTAGACATGAAGTATAGTTCATTTGAAAATCCATTTTTTAATAACAAAATATTAATAACAATAATAAAACGCTAAATATTTTAACGTGGTTGTTAGATCTATTCTTATTTCTCCTGATTTCTTCAATTTGATCTGTTGTAAAAAATAAACATTTTCTGAATATACCATCCGCTTTTGACAATTTGGCAAGCATCCGGCCTGGATGAACCTGATTGGTGGAGTTTTTGGCAGGATCGCCGTTGCCATGAAAACCATACGGTTGTCAATGAGCCAAGGTCACCTTATGTCTCGCTATTGGCCAGGCCTGACGTCATTTTATCCTCCCATCTTGGAATATCAATTTATATTGAAATAGCCAGTGGCGGAGGTTTGGTCATTGTCAATTTTCGTGTACGAGTTGCAATACGATAACACTTCCAAAAAGTTCCGCACGCAGCTGGGTATTTTATGAATGAAATCAGCCATTTTTTTTTACAACTGCATTCCCCTCACCGTTGCCCCGTAGACACAGATTCGCTGGGCAGACATTAGGTAGACAAGACCACCTGTATGTGCAATGTGTGTGCAACATTGTTTGACAATATCCCTCTTTCCCTTTATAACACTACAATTAATAATTAATAAACATATTCCTATTATATATACAGTGTCATTACTTAAGTGTGCAACATATGGGATTTTTTTTAAGTAATAGCACAATCAAAATACAAACAAGGCCAAAAGTTGGTGCATGTCTGATAATCATATTAAGTGCACTTAGAATGTTTGCAAGTCAAACAGCATACAGGGTGGCTGAAAAAATATCAAAATTCTACTAATATTTACTTAAATAAAATAAAACTTTTGCACTTCAAGGTGAGTTTTTTTAATATGGCAATTATCATTAGTAATGTTTTAACTCATTAAAAAAAAAATTGCGACATTTTAAAGTTGTGTTGAATATCATTGCAACAAACATGAATTTTGTGATTCCATAAAAAATTGAAAATCTAAGTTAATTTTACAAATATGCTTGAATTTGAACAAAGTTATGTAAAAGTGATTTGATTTTAATTAATTTTTGAAAGTCTCAAGGGCGGAAATAAAAAATAAAAAAAATATAGAAATTATAGATTTTTTTTCTAAAGAAAATAAAAAAAATCTTAGGAGGCTATGTTTTGGTATTTAGGCTTAACTTTTAATTCCAAACAACTTTTCTCTATAACATTTTGCCGAATTTTCTAAAATAAGGGTACTTTACAGTACCAGTTTTGATATTGTTTGAGCTACCCTGTATGCTGTTTGACTTGCGACTATTCTAAGTGCACCTAATATGATTATCAGACATGCACCAACTTTTGGCCTTATTTGTATTTGGGTTGTGCTATTACTAAAAAAAATCCCCATATGTTGCACACTTAAAAAATCACACTGTACACCTACCCAAAGATAGTGTAACAATTGATGCTAATCGCTAGAATAGTAAACGAATCTATCAAAATTATCATATATAAATACTCTACATCTGTCATTAAACCTACTGAGTCTTGGCATTGACCTTATTTCTAGTGGTAATAAATTGTACATTTTGGCCCAAGATATGAGAACGATCGTAATTTTTTTGATGTTTTGTTCACAGCCTGCCCCAAATGTTTTCCCGTCTTACCTCTCGTTTCATGCTTATGATTGACAAATTGTTTCAGTCTTGGAGTTTTATGAATATACGAACATGATGTGAGGCAATATATTGCACGTGCACGCAGAATGTCTACTGAATATAGTAAGTTGGTGGAAAAGAGTTTGTTTTTGCGGTATATAATTTTTAGAATGTAATTTTGCACTATGTTCAATGGATCCAGAGAGTTTTGGTAAAGGCCACCCCACGCAAGCACACCATATCTTATCAGTGACTCAACTAGCGCTCTGAATACACTTATCAGAAGTCCCTTGCTTAAAATGTCCCTCAGTATGTAAAACTTGTAAACTAATTTCCAGATGTTGCTTGTTAGTCTAAGTATATGCTGATCCCACTTAAGGTTCCTATCCACTGTGATTCCCAAGTACTTTATATAATCAACCTCAAGTATATTGTCACAACTACCCGCTTTACGGGGGTGACATGATGGGGGGTTTGTAGCTTTGGGGGTTGATGGAGAGAAACTCGCTCAGGTTATATAAAAATATAGATATATATTTTCCCAAATATAACCTTACATGTACGCTAATCCTATAAGATACATGACCCTTCGAACACTGGGGTCCTTATAGGGAGCCATACGTCAATGCTGCTTGGGGGACTGTAGATTAGTTTATCGTCACCCTTATGCCTTGTCCAGAGGGGCGTTCCCAACGAGAGGTAATTACACTGGACAACGATAAGGCTGAAGATACCCAGAGGGGTGTTCCCAACGAGAGGTACTTGCACTGGGGAGACTTAATTCCAGAGGGGCTTTTCTAACGAGAGGTACTTGCACTGGTTTAAGTCTGCCTGTGCTGCGGCTTGCAGCGCAATTTATATCAATTTATTGCTGAATTGCAATAAACATCCGATCGAATCGGCAATTAAATTAATAAGGTTAAATACCGGGTCCTCCTTTCCTAAGCAGCTAGTTGACAATATCACTATCAAAATTATCGACCCTAATGCTGTGATACTCCGATCTGCTCACATTAGTAATGGAAAAGGCAATATATTTTGTTTTGGAAACATTTAGAGTTAATTGGAATGAATCAAGCCAGTTCTTTTTTTTTTCTCATTCCTTCAATTGTAGAATTCTTAACAGAAGACCAAGAAGTCCCTGTAAGCACCACCACAGTATCATCAGCATAGGATATTACTGTTCCATTACCCACTTCCATATTTGTCAAGGAGTTTATGTACAGGATGAACAGAATAGGTCCTAAAACAGTACCTTGCGGAACTCCAATTTGGATATTTAAAGGGTCGCTGTAAGAGTCTCCAATTTTCAGAACCTGTGTTCTGTTCGCCAAGTAACTCGCAAAGACATCCAACACACTACCCCTAACTCCATAACAATCGAGAACGCTAAGGAGTGAATGGTGGGGCACCGTGTCGAATGCCTTCGCAAGGTCCAGGAAAACAGCGAGGCATTTGTGTCCCTTGTCAAGATTCTCATTTATGCAGTTAGACAGTTCATAGGTGGCAT